CTGGGTCACAGTCACCAAGCAGTACCCTGTGTCTCCCACATTTTAGGCTCCAATCAAATTTGATTTCAAATTCCAGTAAGTGTGGAATTGTTCTGTCGCTGGCAGACTTACCTGGGAATCCAGTCCCTTCTTTTCTGCCCACCTTCTCCCCACTTTGCTCTCCTACTGGCCACACTGAGCCTGCATCTCCAAAGAGAATATGTGACCCTTCAGAGACCCCTTTCTACAGCCTTAGCTTCCAACTAGCAAGATGAATTTGGGAAGTGTCTGAGGACCAAGGTTGACTTGGTATTTCAATCATGGCACCTACAGTTTGAAATATAAATAGAAGATTCTATTCTATTTATATAGAAAGGAAATGCAAAACAAATCCCCCACACCCCGCAAGTCCTGACTGCAGCTCTCAGAGACCCAGACCAGAGTTGGACCAAAGTCCTCATAAGAGCTCCAGCCCCTCCCCATGGAGGTGACCTCCCCAGTGCAAGGTCATCAAGGCCACTCCCCCCTCACAGGAGGAATGTGAAGGATATAGATGAAAACAAACCAGTAACATTTCTAAATGTTTTTACCACATGCCCAGCACTGAAGACAGAGTGGGTAATTTTCATTATTGCAAAATGCTGAGTGCAAAGTAATGCCATTACAGTGCATCTCTCTCTCCCTCCCCCACCTCCACTTCCCTCCAATCCTCCTCATACCCATCCATCTGCAGGGTTGGGGAAACTTTCTTCCAGAACCAAGTCATTGATGGAGTGCCTCCCAGGCGCCCAGGGCCGCCAGGACACTGTTTGCGGGGCATGCCAGCATGCCTTGCCCAGCAGCAGCAGCCTCTGCACGGCAATTCACTAAGATCTCGAAGGTGACCTCCATGACGTCACCACGCAGAGCGCTATTTGGAAATGGGGCTAAAAATTAAAACGGTAATACCAACTAATAAATACTGTGTGCTAAGCTCTTCACAAGCACCAAATCATTTAACCCTGTTCCATCATCCTCATTCCATCATCCGGAAGGGCATCTTTTTTTTTCCTTCTTGCCTTCTTTGTATGCACTGGCACAAAGCTCATAATCTGCCAAACACACAATATTCTAACTCCTGGGCAATTGTCCAGAGGAGTTGGTGTGTTAAAGATTTTATTCTTTTTGTTTTTTTAATCGCTCCACTGTAGAAGTCATTGAAGACTTCTTACAGAAACCGCATCGGTCCGTCCACTCAGGTTGGCCTAGAGCTTTTGAGAGGAAAGCACTTGGAATTTACAGTAAAACAGATTTGAGTCTAATCCTTGCTTTGCTGCTAATTTTATAACCTCATGCAAGATCTTGAGCCATTCTGAACCCATTTTCCTTGCCTGTAAGAGGCTCATATTAACATGTGTCTAACACATTGGCTATATGATGCAAAAGAGTATGTTTAAAATGCCTTGTAATGTAATCTTACCCTATATGTGTAAAATACTTAACGCATGATAATTAATACTGCTGTTAGGATTATCAATAACAATAAAATCACCCCACATGTACAATGTGGCAGGGGTTAGTTACCTCTGTTCTGTTACTTTGTTCTGTGCCCTAGTGATGTTCCAAAACGACTGACTGACAGCGCACTGGCTATTCTCTGCTCCTCTTCTTTCCATCCTCCCATCCATTCTCCACCCTTCTCTCTTCCCTGGGAGGAGACCCCAGGGACCACATCAACCAAGCTCCATGCTGGCTGCTGGGCGGTGGCTACCAGAGGAAGGGGGGAGAGGGGTGGAGGGAGGGAATAAGAGGAGTGGACAGAGGAGGGAAAACCAGGTGTTCATTATTGCAAAATGCTGACTGCAAAACAACCCCCTCAAAACCCCCAGGTCCTGGCTGCAGCTCTCAGAAACCCTGACCGGACATGGACTGAAGTCCTCGCGATAGCTCCAGCCCCTCCCCGACGCGAGGCAGGCCATCCAGCGGCAATCTCAGCAAGAATGAACAGACATTCCTCTTCTGGTCACTTACTTTGCAAATGGAATGAGTGGTTGATCTGCAAGCCCTATGACAGCAACTTCCACCGAAGTGCTGGCAGCAGCTCTGTGCCCCATCCCTCCAGGTCTCAGAGGGGCAACGGCTGATCTCTGTTGAGATTCTCAGGCGCCTAAACCTTGCTGGTTTCCTCATCCCTGCTCGTGTAAGTGGCTCCTTCATTCGAATCTCTGAGTTGAATTCTGTGTCCTGCAGACCCTGCTAACCCATTGAAGTAACTATGGTGATCTCAGGGGATGATCATGACGATGATTAAAGGGAGGGTCCAAAGGGGGTTCCGCTTTGGATATGGCTTCAAATGACTTTGCTCCTAGCTTATACCCTTGAAACCCTGGCTGGACTAAGTGATACCAAATGCAGATCAGGCACTTGTACCATATCAGATGCCTAAGGTTTTCAGGGATGAAAGTTCCATAGTATAGCAAGACTGGAAACAATATAGATGCTCAACAGTAGGGGATTGGCTAAGTGGGGGTTACAGAAATAGGACAATGTGGATGTGGTAGTCAGCCTTCATGGTGGCTCCAAATGATTCCCCCTCCTAGTGTTCATGTCCTCCAATACTAAACCAGGCTGACCTGTGTGACACACAGAATACTGCCCAAGTGCTGGTGGCTAAGTCACAGAAAAGACATCCTTCTGTCTGGCTCCGTCTTTCTGAGACCATTTCCTCTGGGGGAAGCCAGCTGCCATGTGGTGAGGACCCTCAAGCAGTCTGGTGGAAAGGCCATCTGGAAAAGCTCCATTGGCCAGCCATGCAAGTGAACCACTTAGAAGCAGGTCCTCCAGATCCATCCTTCAGATGACAACAGCTCCAGGCAACGTGACTGTAACCAAAACCAGATTCCTCAAATCGGAATTGCCAGCAAAGCCACTCTCAAATTCCTGACCCACAGAAATTGTAAGAGATAATTGTTACTGTTTTCAGCTGCTAAGCTTTGGGGTGATTTGTTACAGCAATAGGTAAAATGTAATGGGAACATCATACAGTGGGTAAAAATCTTCTTTTGGAATAATATTTAGTGAACTAAAAAAAATATGCTCAAAATCTACTAAGTGAAAAGCATAAGATATAAGATGTGATCCCATTTTTTAAATGTGAATTTATATACTCATTAAAAAAACTGGAAAAAAGTAAATTTAAATGCTTAAAACGACTATCTTGGGTAAAAGACTTAAAGTCCTTCTAATTTTCTTTAAGTCTTCCTGTGTTTTCCAAAGTGATCACTTTTTATGATCTACAAAACATGTACTTAAGAAAAATAGCTTTGCCGGTATGTATTTTAAGAATGGAAATTTAAGTTTACATAAAGTGAAAATGTTTGGTTCCAGCTTTCGAGAGGAAAACACAAAGCCAACATCTACCGGGCAGGCTGTACAGACCCTCTCCCTGATGGCATCTTCCTTCCTCCCAGCAGTCTAGTCTGGCAGCTACACTGACAGCAGCCAGCCCACGGCGTCTTTCAGAGAACCAGAGATGAAAGGTGAAAGGGCCTTTCAGGGGGCTCCACTTGCAGCATCATGACAGTGGGGTGCCCAGGAGCTTCTTGAATCCTTCCTGTGACAGGGAGCTCACCCCCACATGAGGCAGGCCATCCAGTGGCAGTCTCAGTGGGAATAAACAGACATTCCTCTTACTGTCAGTCACTTATTTCACAAACATGGAATGAGTGGTTTGTCTGCAAGCACTATGCCAGCAGACACTTTGCTGTGCTCATTGCTGTATCCTTGGCACCTAGCATGGTACCTAGTACACAGCAGATACCCAATAAATAGTTGTTGAATGAATAAGTGAAGAGATGAGTGGATAGTATTTGCCAGGCACTTAAGGCTCTGGGGACTCAGGGCCTTCACTGAGTTTAGAGTCTGGCACGGGAGAAGAGCATTAAAAAAATAACTAAGGACCTCTCTGGCAACACAGGAGAACATCACGGGGTCATAAGAAGCTGCTTTAGGGCAGTCAGGGAAAGCTTCCCTAAGAAAGCAATATTTAAGAAAAGGTCTGAAGAAGGCATTGG